AAATTTAAAAAGTAATAAAACTAAATAAACAATTTTGTTATAAAAAGAAAAATTTTGATTTGTTTTTGATTAATTTAAAAATAACAACTAATCATTTTGTATTATGATTTATTACATATTTAAATGTTTCAAATATGCAATTAAGTCTAATATATTTTTAGTGAACATATGCAAATATTTTTTTTTTTAATTATCACTTTTTAATTTAATTAATTTATTCTTTCTTTTTTATTTATAAATTTAACTTTATTATTAAAGAAATTAATTAAGTTACTCAAACTTGTTCAATGTGACTTTATTATGTTAATTCCAATCTATAAATAGGATCTTTCATTAAATATAAAATTTTTTAATACCAATTTAAAAAAAAAAAATTTTTTTTAAATTTAATATTGTTAGTTATTTATTAAATTTACTTCTAAACTTGTAAATTTAAGTTGAGTTTTAAGTGTTTTTATTGTATAAGCACTTGAATGAACTAAGAATTTGATTTGATAAATTATTAATTAATAATTTTTTTAAAAATTAAATTTAATAAATTATTAATTATTAAATTTAAGCCAAATTTACAGAGCTTTTACTTCAATAGAAATTCGTGTTCAAATTGCACTCACCAGCAGCGCATCCTTCATAATGGTGAATGTGGTAAACAGGACAATGATGGAGAAGACGAAGGTACATATCGGATCGACAATGGCGTATTGGGGCCAAAAGTAAATGACGCCGGCGGCCACAAAGACACCGACGCTCTGGATAACGTCGCCAATTACGTGTATGAGCGCCGCCCGCACATTCATGTTGACGGCTTCGCGTCCCACCTGCCCGCCGTGGTGATGGGAGCCGGGCGCCGTTTCCGCCAATACGGCAGCTATTTCCAGATCCAGATTCGGATCCACAAGCTTGGAGTTCTGATACGAGTAGGTCGGCAGGCCGGCGCCCGGCAGCTCGGCATCCTCCGGATCGAAAGCAACGCCGCCCTCGATGCGTTGGTTGGGCGAGGCGGCGCACGGTGTCGATGTGGCATTTGCATGTGAAACGGATCTCTTATGCTTCTTCGCCTTCTTCTTGCTGGCCTTTGAGTTGCCATGACTGTGACCATGCCCACCGCCCAGGCCGTGCGAGTGCCCATGCTGCAGCTGCACACCCATGCTGAAAAGAGACACACGAGGGAGCGGGTGAGCGAGTGAGCGAGACAGGAAATGGTAAGAGAAATTGAAAACGTTATCACAAATATTTAATATACTTGAAAATGTTGCAGACCGATGGCCCGTGGCACCACTCTGCTGCCCACTCTACAGGCAGGTGGGGCATACTGGCTGCCAGCTATACGGCCACGGGACTCCGGCCGCAAAAACAAAAACAAAAACCATCCACACAAAACAAAAAAAAAAACCCTTTATTTGGGTATGCGGCCGAAGCTTTTGCATTGTTTGGCATTTTATTTCAGCATTTTAATACTACTGCAGCCAGCAAACACACTGTGCACAGTGGGACTGAGTGGGTGAAACTGAATGTTAGAAGAGAAGCTGCAAATATGAAGTATTTCAGGTTACAACAATTACAATTAAGCAACTTAAGTGATTGATTAGATTGCATTGGAACTAGATCCTGAGAATAGAACTTTGATTTCCATTTAGTATTTTCTGAAAACGAACGACATATGTAGTTTGCAGCTAAAATATTACATGTTGAGCATGCAGACATTGTACTGCTTCATATTAAATGGAAACTTATTTTATATTTTTAGCAATTTCAGTATTTTTGGA